AGTCCTAACAGTATTCGCTCATCAACTGTGCAAACGTCGTGCACGAGAACGCTAACTAACGGTTACTGTTTTACTAAATTTAACAACAACGAAACAATAACAATGGAGTTTTTTCGTCGACTCGCTTCCCCGGAAATTCTCACAAATAGTGCTGCGCCATTTCGTAGAAAACTTTCATCGTCGCATTGCTGAGATAATGAAGTCACTTGACTAGGACGACGGGGTCATATGTCATATGCCAGTGGACGGATTCACCTAACCGTAGAATAGATAGATGTTGAAGTGATTTCTTGTTAATCTGATTTTTTAACTATCCCTGTGCTGCATAGTTTGATTTATCAAGATCGATTATAAGACCCTAGTCATCAAATAACTTTGAGAAATTCGCATTAAGGGACTTTCTGACAGAAAGACCTTTTCAATTATCGAAGCCTTCTTTTAGCTGATTGTTGAGAATAGAAATATGGTGCACTTCGGAAGAGCCTATTTGATTGCTCTTCGAGTGTTAAAATTACGAGCGACAACTCCTTAATTTTCTCATGGAGCTCGCTCTTTTAAATAGTGTGGAAGGTTTAAAACGCTTATGTTCGTTAATGTGGAAGGAAATTTGCTTTCCTATGGCTTTGGAGATTTATCAAGTTAGTATGCCGAAAGCCACTGATCTAGCTCATATGAGGGATCTCGAGCCGGTTAGCCGTGAGCCTACGTGGCGCGTCCCCAAGTGGTGGATAGGGGGTTAATGGCGAACCAGAAGCGACTTTGCTTCCCTGAGACGCAGGTGGATCCAGGGGATGGACTCTCTGTTTCTGCTGCGCTGATTTGACACATACTTTCTGTATTTGCTGGGCGTATTCATGCATGCGTGTGTGGGTGCGTTCTTGTCGGCCAAAAGCCTGAAATCAAGTGACTGGGAAGTATATGGGAGGCGGTTATGAGTCTCCTCCAACAAACTAGCTCCATGTTCACTCTGGGAGAGCCTGCCAAGCTACCCGTGAGTACGCCTAGCCCCACGTTCAGAGTCCATCCAAGCTATACGTGGGTATCAAAAAGCTAAACACAGTAAAAGGAACGGGCCTCATTCCCTTGACTCCGAAAGAGCCCCCAATTTCGCAGCGTTAGGCAGGACGAGTACGTAGAGACTACTAAAATCTCAGAGCCAATGGAAGCTGCCTGGATTCAAAGAACTATAGCGACGATCTGCACCTACAATGCACGTACACTTGCATCCGAGCCCTCGATAGAAGACTTGCTCATGCAAGCAAGAAGGATAACGTGCAACGTCATCAGCCTGGCCGAGGCGAGAAGACGCCATCCTTTCAGCGCCGTCGATGACACCGGAGAAAAACTGTTTCTCGGAACATACGACAGTAGAGGAGTCCGCGGCGTTGGCGTTCTCGTCAACACGAGTTTGTCCGTGAACATGGATTCATTCGAACCACTTACAACACGAATCGGACGTTTACGATTAAAAATACGTGGGTCAATTCTGGTTTTCGCAATTTTCGTCGTTTACGCGCTGACATCAAACAATTTCGAAGAAGAAGTCGAAGTGTTCTATATGGATTTGGAAAAGTTCTACAGAGAAGACCACACATTCTTCAAGGTCATCACTGGAGATTTCAGTGCCAGGATTGGACCAAGAAGAACGTCTGAAGAATGTCACATTAGGACAAACGGATTAGAACGGAACGAAAAGAATGAGCGGCTTTCTGAGTTTATCATGGCGACTAAGGCAATCCATGGTAACTCGCAGTTCCAGAAGCCCCGCCCTCAGCGCTGGACGTGGGAGCATTCCAATGGAGAGTTCCAAAACGAAATAGACCACAACATAGTAAATAGAAGGTTTTGCCTAACCGATGTCGCTGCTATCCCATAATTCTACACGGGATCAGACCGTCGTCTCCTTCGTGCGAGATTCTATTTCTCGCGGAAAGGAGAAAAAACCGCCAAGTTCCAAAACCGAAGTTCCAGAGCCACCGTAAGCTGGAATTTATTCAATTCACTAGTCGGCTGTTGGGAGGATGCCGTTGTCGATAACATCGACGAAGAATACGATCGGCTCATTCAACATCTTTACACCATCTTCGCTTTGCTGATGACATCGTCCTTATAACACCAAACATTGGCCGAGCGGAACGCATGCTTGACGACTTTGATAAAGCCTGTGGAAGATTGGTTTTCGACTAAATCTCACAAAAACGACATTCATAAAGAACGGATTGGTTTCGTATGCCCCATTCACGCCCAACGGAACGAATATCTCCGAATGCTCCAGTTACATCTATCTAGGTCGGGAAGTCAATATAATGAACAACCAGCTCCAGAGCTGAGCAGGAGAAAACGAGTGGCTTGGGGAGCTTTCAAGAGCATCGAGGATGTAGTGAAGAAAGCAATGAACACCCGATTCCGTGACCACCTTTTCGACTCAACGGTACTTCCTGTGCTAACGCATGCGTCAGAATCCTGGTCGCTGCGTAAACAGAACGAAAAGTTACTGATCGTTATCGAACGCGCAGTCGAAAGGACTATGCTGGGAGTGCCCCGTTCCACACAAGTAAGGGATGGGATCCGAAACTCCGATCTGCGTCAACGATCAAAAATCGAAGATGCCGTTCTGTACGCCAAACAGTCGAAGATAAGCTGGACCGGTCACGTAATACGGATGGGTGACTACCGATAGACAAGAGCCGTTAGTCACTGGATTCCTCGGGATGTCAAACGTACTGCAAGAAGACTACCGATGCGATGGTCAGAGTTCTTCACAAAGAGCCCTCAAAAAAGATATGATGCTAGACGAGTCCGTAAAGCGAGCAGAACCCACTGGGCTACTCTTGTACGCGACGGGAAAAAATTGAAGATTTACTGTTGCCCGCTCGAGTCACTCGACGATCAACAGGACTGCAGGTGATACAGGTGACAGGTGAGTTTGCCGAAAGAGGTGAGAGTGAAGCAGTTGTACAGTTGGACTTCAAAAGGCGCAGAATCCTGGTTCGAACCCAAATTGAATTACAATTATATTCTTCATTTCCAAATATTCAATGAAGACAGCGCAAGTGTCATAAACTCTTACTGCCCTGAGAAGGGAGACTCTGCATAACTTTCAATTCCTTCGACGTGAGGAATATAGCCATAAGTCGGGTGTTCCCTTATTCGCGAGTCATTCAACGAATAAGTTTCCTCCCATATGCTTTCGTCAGATATGATGTATCACATTCTTCCTTAGTGATGAGAGAAGCTCGTCTACAACTTACCGATGTATCAAATGACCACACGAAGGAAAAAATGAGTGAATCCCGTGGAGCAAGTTGGAACTGTTTTTTCCCCTATTCTCGTAGAGCCCTCCAAGTGGTTTACCGGGTCATCGTGGCTGGGAGGTGTACCTGGTTGTCGGGCTGCGATGTACAAAGGGGGAATTCATTCTCTAGCAAGGTCTTCCACACTGAGGGATACGGCGTTTCTACCAGGAAGCCCAGCTAAGAGTAAACCAATATCAGGATCCAGCAACGTCCTGATATCAAACTAGTCGCGTTGTGACAAATCTCCCTCTCATCCACAAGGGCACTGGACGTGACGACCTGGGGCAGACTTTAGTTAGGCTGACCTCGGGACTCCAGGAAACCTTATTTGCTAAGCCAAGTAAACTTAGAAAAGTGGAGCCCGCACTGGAGCACGCACAACCAGTGAGGACGGGCCGTGCAAGTATCCACGAAAACAACACGCATGTGTGCACCTATAAAGTTACATAACATGACATCCATATGTATTGTTCTTGGCTTGTGCAAGCAGTTTTTGGTGTTCAAAATCTGTCAAATTAGAAAACCAATCCTGAAAAAGTGCTTTATGGATTACGTGGTGCCAACGCGCAAACAGGAACAATGGAGTAGATAATACAAATCAAAAATGTGGAGAAGAAAAGGTAAAAACTAAACTCGGCAAGAAATCCAGAGAGAAGCATTAGAAACAAATGATGCAACTGTTCTTGAAATATGTTTCATTTATGCTGCCTTTCTTCGCTTCGACTGCCACTGAACAATCTGCTCTTCCTGAGTACTGTTCTCCAACACTATTTTCTTTGATCTTCTACGTTTGCGTTTCGGAGGATCAGCGTCGTTGCAATGCTGGTGCAATGTCTTAATTCCGAGAATACTACGTGAACAACCTTTGCATAAAATTAATCACCACCGGTTCTTATAAAAAAAGCAACAAACGTTTGAGAAGGCATAACTTTCCCACATTTGTTACTTGTTGAACTTCTGTTACAGTCCTCAGAGGCACAACGTTGCTTGTGGATATTCTTGAACCTCCCAAAGAATCTTGACGTTGCTAAATTGAGTGGATGTATAATCGATGCTGGATAGAGGTTTAACAAACCGCCACAGCATGTAAACAAGGTTAAATTTACGGAAAACTGATAATCAATATGTATTCTTTCTTGATAAGCTTGCACGAGGTTGATAAATATATTTATTTTCGGCTAACGTTTCGACGTCTTCGTCTTCCTCAGAGCCGATGATCCGAGTCGATGGTCCATGCTTGTTGTTCGCCTCGACGTTGCGTCTTCGCCTTCGTATCGAGCCAGATCTTCCTCAGTGAGCCATCTTCTCGAATGAGGCACCCTCACGCAGTGATGCCCTTTTATACACGATGCTGATGGTGGATATATAATGACAATGTCCGGTGGTAACAACTTGTATTTCTTGCGGACGTACATCATTGCGCACATCGTGCAGAGGTCGGTGTATTATCAGCTAGCACAAAGCGTAGTAATATTTCGAAACTTTCGAAAAAAAAAGGAAAACTGATAATTTTTGCTACATATCGAATTCAAGAGACAAGATTTCCTGCTTTTCAACACCATTTCGAGGTGATTACGAAAAGGTTTTTTTAGAAACGGTGATGTGTTGTTAATCATTAGTGAAGGTAGCGTCGACAAATAATTCTCAAACAGCTTGCCTGTGACCTTCGTATGGACGTATCTCCACTGCTATTGGAGTCCAAATTCAAACTGTTGTCAAGAGGAGAACTCCCATCAGGTAATGCCAACCGGATTCTCTTCGTTGAACTAGAAGGTAAAATTTCTCCTTCATATACATTAAGGTTTTCTTTTGATGTGGCTAAAATGTCCAATGGTTGGCTTTTTTTAGAAGGTTTTCCACGTTTCTTCTTCCTCTGGGTAGAACGATTACAAACTCCATCGATGACCTAAAATCAAACTCGTGAACACTGACACAAAGAAGTATTTAGTGTTAAATTTTATATAACTCTTTTTTTTCATATCGATGCACTCCGCATATCATTCCCGTTGACGGGTGACTGCTGATAGCACCGATAGAGTAAAAATGTGGCTGAGAAAAAGGCAAAGTCAGGAGCTTTGGTTAATGTGGTGGTTAGCACATGTGCCCCGAGCAAAGGTGACGAAGGTTACGAAGAGCACGTAATTTTAAGAGTTTTGCTCATATCTCAGCACTTCTGTGGTTTTAGTTTTTTTGTGCTTTTCGTTTCGATATTTAACATATAAATTTATATGAAATATATTTTTAATTATGAAATATAAACATAAAAGCGCAAAGCTCTGCTTCTGTTTCCGTACTAAACTGTCCATCTGGAAACCAGAATTTCCTTGGGGATCTCTCTTCATTCTTGGCTTACAAAATAAGGTTACCCCGAAACTAAGCTCTAAGTTAAATCAAGAAATAAAAGGCATACCGTTTCTATTGTTTTGGTGAGGGCATCGTCGGCCGACTCCTCACAATCGATAGGTCTGCATTGTTCGGTAGAAGTAATTTCCATTTCATTTCCCACATCACCTAACTGAAACCATTTATTCAGCAATTAATCTTTTAAGATAAGAGCATGCCGACGCGTGCAAAAAACGGGAAGCAGGAAGCAGTCCTACCTCTTCTTCCTCATAAAGTAACTCCTCTTCATCTATTACCATCCGCATGAGATCCTTTCGAGCCTGCAGAAAATCTATTTTCAGTCATTGAATAAGACAAGATCCTTTCAAGCTTAGTGATTTATATGCTCTGTGCCTTTGCTCTTCCACATCAGGTGGATCTATTGCAAATGCCAGACGCATGGGTTCAAGAAGAAGACAACGCACTTGGGCCTAAAAAATTGTGTTACGAGTATCTCGTTATGACTAACAACTACAGTTAGGGGATTACAACCTACCTTCAGTTTGAGATAGTTATGGTCTCCTAAAATGCTAGGGTGTAGTTCGATATTCAGTCGATCGTACGCCTGGAAAATACCACTTGAGATTGTTTGCGTAACAACAATCTTATGTTTCAAAAACTTCGTTCGATAGAGGCACGTGTCTAACCAGATCCAGATCGCCACCCCTCTTATGCTCAACTCTGGCTCATTATTAATAAATACTGGACTTCGACCGTTTAACTTGTTGCCAAAATAAATGCAGCTACGAATAGCAAACTTCGGACCATTACAACTAGTCTCAAATACAACTCATAACAAAATAAGAACTATTAGCATCTACACAATTCTTCGTCAACAAGATCCCAGCTCATGCCTCTCAGCAGCACAAATTTCTGATCTTTCGGACGTAGTAAAAACTCTTGAAAGTGTTTTTAGCAATAGCTTTATACAAATTTTTAAACTATCACTTTCCAATAAAAAAAAAGAAAAGATAATGTTTTTGGCGTGGATCAAGCCGTGAGGGATGCGCAATGCATTCGGCTTCATTAAGCATCGTTTGGAGGTGATCGAATCCGTACCTGGCCTTTACAATGATTCGCTGTGGCCTGCCGACGTATCGAGCCAGTGCTGCTATCCTCCCAGAGAAACCTGGTACCAATATGCCCATCCTAGAGGGAAGGAATGCTTAGTGGGCCATGGGTGCTTAATCGATTCCACATGTGTGTTGCAGAACGCTTCCAACCACTGCGCCACACGTGCCCATCATTTCCCAATATATTTAAAAGTTATAGCCGATGCGCGAGAGGCGTGGTAAACATGAAGAATGAGGTATGGTTTCGAAGCGCGAATCCTTCAACCTTTGTAGTGTTGGTTGTGAAACTTGTAGTCGAGCGTTTTCATGTGATGGAGAGGAAATTCTCTGTTGGCCACATCTGAATAAGCACGCAAGTCTCTTTTTCCAAAGCTTCACCAACATCGTAGATTTTCCTCTCTATCGCGATTGCTTCGCTAAGCTTGAACGCATTATACTGCAAAGTTTTATGTCCGGAAAGCGAATAATTCATGATACCTGTCACGTGATGCAAATGCACCCATATCATCTTTATTGCTCGCCAAGTGACTACTAGTTTCCTAGCCCATCGCGAGCAAGGGCAGGCCAGTGGCTTCTCTTTGTTTTCTAGACTCGCTATAGATCATATTTTTTTTCTAGGGTTTTCGTAGAGAACTATGAACATTGAGTCAGTCATCTTCCTGTGGTGCATTTGAAATCCTTAATAAACTAATTGCCAACGACTCTTGTCCATCGGTTGCTGTACAAAAGAATCACGTGTCTTGCCCATCTTATGAACGGCATTTTGGCGTATAGAAAGACACATTTAATTTTTAATCGTAGGCGTGGGTGGAAAGTTCAGATTCCTTTTTTCACGTTCGTGATACGGGATACTTCTAGCATCGTCCTTTCGACGGCGCATATCATACAAAGCTGAGTGATCTTTCACACTGGTCACGTAGAGCTCGCGCATTTAAGGCGGGAAAAACAATAGAGATGAGAATATGGGCACAACGGTTTGTGTTCTAAATTTCTTTCATAACATCCTTGATATTTTGAAGACTTCTCAAGACTTTCACTTCCTACGACTCAGCCCTGGAGCTGAGTCGTGCATCATGTCAAATTCTGAATTTACAAATCATGCTTTAGAAAACTTTCAGAAAGTCCATATTGCTCCAATCACTTAACCTATCACAGTCACTCGCCGCGTAGCATCCATTGCTTATTACATCTTAGAAAGCGGTCAAAAATTGGATTGGTCCTGTAGCAAGAAGAGAAAGTAGCGCGGACCATACATTCTGACGACAGTTTCGCTGTCGCCCATTGGCTTTCACCTAGTATTCATTTTTTTGAGATTTTTCGCCTTTAAATGCTTAAGGATTGTTGAGTTGTAAATGTTTGATTTTCTTGCAATCTTTGAAGAAGTTTTCGTGGTATCTTCGAACTTAGAGTTCTTTGTCGTTAATTAACGAAGGCACCTCGCTAACTTCTCTGTCATAAAGATTCATACCGTTAGAAACGGTTTCCCCACGCCACTGTAGTGAAATTTCGAGTTACCTCTCCTACGGTATGTGCAAGTTTGAACTTATCAGGTAAAGTGATGCGATTTTCATAAAATGAGAGCATCATGTGCACTCGTATAAGATCATTGGAGGCTAAATTACAGAAAATGCACTGGGACGAAAATGTTCAAGAAACATGCTTAAGACAGGACACTGCAACAAATAAATGGGTACTGCCAGCACAACTATACTACGATATTTGCAAAACTCAAAGCCCTAGGCTTGCTTCGAACGCCGACTACTCTTACCGTAGCCTCACATGTTAACCACTGTACCTAATTAACCAGGTTCAATGTCGATCTGTGCTCCCCAGACCATTCTTGTTGAAAGGTAATCGCTGACAGCACTGTTAAGGTAAAAAGTTGGCAGAGAAAAAGACAAAGCAAAGGCCCTCAGTGGTGCAGTCACATGAACTCATATAGGATCATAACTTCTAAAATAATTCACGACCTACCGTAAATTTACGCGTGTTGCCATTCGGCATCCCAAAAGCATCAGTGTCTATTTGATTTTCACTACGAGGAGGAAAATAACATAAAGCACGCTCCGTCAACGATGGGCGAGCCCTCTAAAAACATTATCTGTTTGCGACTACTAAGATTTTTAATGATTTCCACCTTTTCCAACCTCGAAGATACGATAAGCGGACGTGGTGGTGAATGTGAGCGGCAATGTTGTTCTTGGTGGAGGGGGTACGAAGTGTTTGAAACTGTTGGCTGCTCCCACACGCTGATGGGAAAGCGTCTAGAAACAGATACGTAGTAAAAGCCAAAACGTTGAAGAAATCGTTACCGTAGTGAGTTAGCGTTTTGCAGGCTAGATATGTTATTGTTTCTTTTATAACACCAACAGTCAAGTAAAGTTAACGAAAGTGAGCATAAAGTGTTCTCATATTAAAAACTCCAGCTTATGTGGAAACGTAGGCAAAATTTACCAAAATTAAAGCAAGAAACTTTGAAAAAAGTGGTTTTAAAAGCATTTTCGTCAGTAAAAAATCTGATGCGACACGTTCAGCTTCATGCCGACCTGTGGACGACGTATTGGACCATTCATGTTGGTCGCACTCATGCACAGCATGACAGAGTGCTTCTGTCAGGCAAATGACCCGTTGTTCTTAGATGCACACAGTGAATTCCCTTGAAAATACCGCTTACATTTTTCAACAGAGAATAATCTGGCAGGTCCACAAGGGTTTAGTCAATACGAATTTCTCAAAAAGGTAGTCGTGAAAAAATCTATAAATTTAGATTAAAGAAATCAGCACATTTACTCTATCAACCACTTATGAGTTCAACAGCCAAGAATCAACGTTGGGCCACTGCAGACTTGTCCAATCACTTCAGCCACAAGCAGTGCAATCACTTCTGTCTCTAGTCGGGAATTTTCCAAACAACACATTGGGTATAGCCATAAGTGCCAAATAGAATTCTTACGTGTGAATCTTAGACAAGCTCAAAAATGCTATCAACAGCGTTCTCTTTTGCCTTTGCAGAATTTGGCTACAATTTCATTCCTAGTTATGTCCAATTTTTATTTATTTTATAGGGACTGTGTAGTAGCTGAGCATTGTAACGGTGCTTGCAAGTTAACCAATCGAGACCGAATCTTGTCATAGAATAGTTGGACTCTGAGTTGATTTACTCGCGTTGCTTTCCCACCAATTAACAGATTCACTATTTCCACCTTCGCTACCACAGCTGCGAACTCGTTAAGCTCATCCATTCCTCGTGAAAGTGATCAGCCAGATCAAAAAAAAATTTTCAGAACTAGCGGTGAACGAGTCGAAGCCCTCGAATAGAAGACGTTTCGTCCATCCAGTAGTTCCACCAACACAACATAATAGGCGCGTCAAGCCTTCATGTTCGCTGTAACTTCGCTGTTTTGCATATACTTTTTGCATCCTTGCTATAGAAGGTTTAAAAAAACATTTAAATACTCCAAAAAAACGCCCTACTTCTGTGACTTCTGGTCCGAATTCAGTTCCCTCATATAAAGGGTTGGGACGCAAATGCATATCCTTTTTTATATTCTTAACTTCCTGAAATTGTGAAAAATATGGAGCTTATTGTAAACGTAAAATAATTAAAAAAGAGCAGTTGGCACACTGGTGCCGTTCATGATGAACACGATGTTTGCTCGATTCCTCAGCAGGCTCACCCAGCCCCTCATTTCTCCAGGATCAGAAAGTTGGTACTGGATTTGTCTGGGAAATGTTCTCTTTCTGCAACCCATGTATGAACGTTCTCGCATCCTATCTTTATCCTAGAACTCCAGCGTGAAACCACTCGACTAGCATTCACCGACATTCATGATGAAGAGAAAACACTCAGGCACCAGCCGAAGTCACACGTAGAAAGCAGGAAGACCCTCGCTGATGATGGATGTGAGAAGACGAGTCGGATCCGAGAAGTGGTGAGATCGGCGCAGAAAATGTGAAGATGGGTCGTGAAAGAAAAAGAAACATTTAAATAGCACACTCAAACTTACACCTATATGACGACAGCTTCGTTTAGGCTTTTCCGCAGTGATAGTTAATCGATTAAGAGCTCTAAAAAAAGCATATTCAGCACTTGGTTTAATAGATAGATAGCACAAGAAAAGCTGTAAATTCTTCTAAACTACGTGCTATATGCCATCACTAAAAAACTATTCAGCTAAGAGCTATCTTCACTTACTTCGCAGTAAGATCGATGTCTTCAACCACGTCTGTTACGCATGGGGGTTGCTGCCCATTTTTAAACTTCTTAGTGCTTCTCTAAAACAAATCTAATAACTAAGTTCAAGGCATATGACAGCTCGATTCCTTTCTCAAGCAAGGCTTTTTCTTCATCATTAAGCCTACAGAAGACTGTTGTTGCTTTACTAAAATAACTGTGCTTCTCAAATTTAGTCATTAAGTTGTTCGGAAATCAATGTCCAGTTCATAACTTCTTTTTTTAGCATATGTTTTAGGAATATTTTCCAGAGAACGTTTGTTCTTTTTTGACAGAGACTTTTGTCGAAGTTTAGTAAAAGGAGGCTTCGAAAATATCGATTCGCTATGATCTCAATTCGATCGGTGCTCAACTTCACTGGATTAGACTCGATGCGACAACGAATAGCCACATCGTGTGGACGACCACCTGTTGATCATCGATTCGGATCACTCCGCTCTGAAGCAGATGAAGACGACGAAACGTTGGCCGTATAAGCCTTTCTCTCAGCTGCATGTTTGCTTTATAGTCGAATGTGGTATCTCGACTACTTTTTGTGCGAGAAATGCTTTAGAAACCAAGCCGAGGTCAAAATTGCCTTCAACGTCCTCATTTACTCCACAAGACGAAAAATTTCATTCCGATAAATTGTTGTAATGTAATAAATCGATAATTTATGCTTCGCGTTGATAGTAGTCTATAAATTTAAATCTTTTCTATTTCTAAAGAGAAAGATTATTCTGAGCTGAGATATGCCACTCTGAAAACCTAGGCCGATGTCGGACATTAGTTTTCGGACCAACTACTGCAATGAAATAATCGGAAACAGTAGTGTAAGCTATCAAAAGTGCTTAATGAAGCTTACATTAGATCTTGTAGCGTTCTTCTTTTTTTCAGTTCGCTGTTTTGCATCTCGGTAGCGTCTTCTCTGGATCCCACCAAAAGTAAGTTTTTGGAGCATCTGAAAAACGTTTCATTTCGCAAATGAGAACCGCACAACAACAACAATCTGACCGATTTCCATCTCGCTATAGTGAACAGAACTGTAAATTCGCCAGTGACATATGTACCATTTCTATTAAGGGCATAGAATTTCTCGTTTGCAATCCTAAGTAATATATAACTATCCATCAAGCAAACGTCCTATCAAAGTGATTATGAGTAAAAATGGAATATTTATTACAGCGCCGTCTTCATCGACTAGTTTCTTACAAAGCATTGTTGCAAGCGGGAAAGGGAAAACTAGCAAGTAATGAATGATAACGTCATATAAGTGGTTAAGTTAAAAACCTACCACGTCACGTCTAGTTTTATATGCGGCTACGGCAGCCGAAGATATTTTACAAATAAAACGAGAACGCTTCTCAGAACGAAGCTGAAAATGAAGTTTGCACATTCCTATCACAGCAAACAGAAAATAGTGCATTAATGTAAAATCACAAAAAGCATCCTTTCATTTTTAAGAGCAACGTCAAAAAAGTTCTGTATGATTTTGTAAGAAAAGTTAGATTGGCTCCAGGTACGTTGCCATACAGCTAGCCACTTTCTCCAACTAGCTCAGACATGAACCCTTAACTATTGACACCAGTCGTCTCTAAAATTTGCGTCAAGTGTTATGTTCAAGAAACGACGAGCACAGTGATGAAAATTGCCATTAAACCCTCGTTTTATCGGCGCTATCGTCCTTTCGAAAAGTTCGACTGACACAGATAAAATACCAGAACCTGGACGGCACCAAGAAACTTATATCTGTCTCTCCCATTATATCAGTAAAGCTTGCAGTTGAGCAATAAGTTACCCATTAGACGACAAACCGAAATAAAGGACTATTCGATAAGAAAATCTTTATCATGCATGTATCTAATAACTTCGAAAAATGTGGTAAACTACTTGAAATAAATACGGTTACGGAAAGTAGACATGATAGAGATGATGTATTTGTGGATCACTTACATAGTTCCTAAACGACATCTTCTGGAATACATTTAGAATATCCAACTTAAATGGGTAACGAAGTCACTCGATTCGAATGAGAAGGACGTTTGTATTAATGTAAAATTTCCATCAAATCCCAGTTTCGCGGATGAAATCGCCTTTTCGAAGAGTACAAGCGAGGGAGAGACGATGCCCACTGAACTTAACGAAACGGGAAAAAAGATTGTACTACGCATAAGGAAGAGGGCACACTCATGAAGAATCCATGGAGCGAAGGCAAAGAAGTTGTAGCGGTTCTATTCAAGATCAATTGCACAGAGCAACAGTAACATGGGTCGAATTCAGGGCTCCCAAAGATGCCACAGACCAACTAACCGCCCCAAAACTTCGCGCTCACATCTTGGACTTAGCAGTCCTATCTGCGATCTGCTGCGCAGCAGAGGCGGGTAATACCTCAACCACGTCAAGAAATCCAAACACCACCCATAGAACGTTTGAACCATATTTCGAAGTTTTAACATAAATTCCTAACCTTTAGCTAAAATGCACAATTCATATCTCTCGAGCCTGTTTTAACCCTGAGATCCAGGAGAATACACATCGATATCGAAGCATAGAGATGGCACTGGTCATATCGGTAAGAGACAGATGGACGAAAAGAACAACGAAATATGCTCTGAGAAGATTCAAGCATCTTTCGGACGGCCACCCAAATGACTTACGGGCGTGTTCGTTGTTCAGTCATCTGCATCCACAGACGGAGACATTTTTAGGAATTCGAAATTTGCAATGTCGTCATTTCCATGCTCTAAACACGCCTCCAACACGGACGAAGATTACTTGAGGAAGAAACGAATATCAGTTACACAAGGGTTCCCACCACCAGTGAAGACGAGTTTTCCAAGTGTCAAAATATCCAAGAATTCAAGGGCATCTAACACCGAAAAGAGTTTTTCGGCTTACAACATACAAGAATAACCCATTTTAATGGCGCAAAAATATTAACAACTCAAAGTAGACACATGGACTTCTCATGTAATAAGGAGAACTGACGACATTTAAGTATTTCAAAAGGGTTAGCTAACCACCAATACCGAGGTTACACTAGTAGCAGCACCATTTAAGAAGATTGCCATTTTTTGCTTATATGTGTGTTTTAAACAGAAGTATTTTTTTTAAATCAACCACTCACTTTTAAAATTATTGACAATAAACGTCGGTATGGCATTCGAACGCCTTCCGGCTTTTGTCTTGGCAAAATCTCCGCGAATTCTTCCCACCCTCCTGCAAAAGCAACAGTCGCTAATCAACTGCTTCTAGAGATGCAAGCCCATTCATAACTTGCAAAATAATCCGAAATTTCCGTCACTACTCGTATCACAATTTTCCATGAGACCAACCTCTTCCCAGCACATTCCCTCCAAGAACCAGCCGCTCATCTTCCTCATCCGTCCAATCGTTTGTTTCAGTCCACGATGTAAGGGTCTCCTAGGTGTGTAGCTTTCAGAAAAAAAGCGAAAAACGAAACGATAGGGAAAATAAAAGAATGAGACGTTTTCACGAAGTTGCTTAAGCCGCTCCATCTCCTGTTCCGTCCACGGCCCGTTATTCCATTGACTCCGTTCGTTCAACCATTTGCACTCCAGCGCTGCAGCAGATCGAGTTCCATTGAACTGAACAAAAATATGATCTTGTGATAAATATTTGAAAACGTTATCGTTGAAAACACTAGCTCTACTACTGTTAAGCCCTAAACGCTCTCTAAAAAGAGCAAGAACTTAGCGAAATAAGCGCTTAAACAAAAGCATGTGCACCCGTTAAACTACATGAAGATCGCTTATTTTTAGTAAGGTGCGCATGTGAAAGCAAAACACACATCAATAGCTGAGATCATCGACCAGTCCACACAAGAATAATCAACCAGATCTCCTTCTTGCAAATCTGCTAGTTCTGCAGACGACTGCTTAATCTTGTGATCGAGAGCCTCGATTTCCTTTTTCCATCGTTGCACTTCCTCAGTCGAGGTTTCAACTCCAGCACGAAGAATTTTGGAGTGTAGTATTTCCTGCCTGGAAAGAACTAGTTGTCAAAAAATATCCACGTAGCAAAGAATTTTAGTAAAGGTAATCATGAGCTCAAATCACTCGGAATTATCGCACCTATCAACGAAATTTTCGATACACGCTTCTATGACAGATTTTTTCACAGCCTCTCGAAGCAAGTGCAGTTCATTGGACGTCCCTAAAAAATTTCATCTATTGTGTCAGCATGGTAACACTTAAAGACGAGACGAGCTAATCAACACAAGCTGTTCAATCGTGTATAGTATGACTACTTGGGCTAGTGCGTTCACACTTTTCCATACACGTTTGTTACCGCATTGGCAATAAAGCCCAAGTATGTGCGGCTATTGCGTAGAGTACGCCCAATTTTTCTCCGCGCGAAGTGCATGGGACTCAATGCGTGCCGTTCTACCTCCTCCGCAAATTTTTACCACTCCGTTTTTTGATTTCTACACCACCTTTTAAGCTTTTTATTTCATAATTTGCTTTTCCTGTAACTATTTTCGCTTTCTTTTATGGTGTTTTTAAGGTTTACCTATTCGTCATGTTGTTTTATGTAAATTCCCATGTTTTGGAGCATTTTTAACTCCTGCCGGTGGAAAAAAGAGAACATCTTCAGTCCAACCACTGTGTTATCTCGCTGTAATCGGCTTCACAACATCCATCTTCTAATTCCATCCTTATCTCAACAAGATAGAGCTAATATTCCAAAAAATACATTAAATAATTAACCCATTCGCGATTATTCCGGTTTTTGAAAAATGCTGAGATTTTCTTGATTACTAGAATAGTTGATGGGAAATCAAAGCGAGAAGTTCTATAAATGTAATTGCAACATGTACGAGGAAACTACGCTATCATAGAATGCGCTTAGAATGGATCTTTAGAAGCATTACAGGTTTTCATCTGTTAATCTCTAAATCTTTCAATAATGCTGTGAAGGTTGGACTAGAAAATATTTGTAGTGGAGACTACAAATGCACAGAGCAACGAACTTTTCATATCATCAAAAATTGCTTCGCACGATTCGCCCTTTCTTTTGCCCATTTCTTTTCACCTACAAAAATTCTCACGCATCATCTATAAAAATTTCATTATAATTTGCTAGCTCTCTTCATTCTCGATGGATCAGGTGGTCCAAAAACACAGCGGTCACGGAGTGCCAAGATGACCGATCACAACGAACTAGTGGTCACCTGAATGGCCATCGGAGACTACTTCATTTTCATCATCCCAGCCGCAATTTCTCCGTACGCTTCAGATTCATTGCCTACGGTTGACACAATAAATTGCAACGTTTCATTGCTAATGAGTATTCAAATGGAAATAAAACAATTCTTTTGTTTCCGACATGACTTAAGCACACAAAACTCAACTTTTAACCAGTAATTTGATTGCTATTTCACTTTAATCGCCTATTGATAACCATAATATGTGTAACAGCCTTACGCTAAATACGAAAGAAATACCAAAATGCGCTTCGAAATCTTATAAAACCTTAGTGAAAACCGATAGTACTATGGGTTAAAAGTGAGCACCACGAAGCACGAGACCAGGATTTGTTGAGAAACAAATTTTGGAGTAAAATATGTAGTAAGAAAACATGATCATCTGGTGGGCGAGTTAAGACAACTCTCTATGCACTGATTTCCCACGGATCTTTCACATTCGATGGATTTCGAGCCGGTTAGCCGCGAAGCAACGCGGCGCGTCTCCAGTGGCGAACAGGGGGTCGGATCAAAAGCGACCGTTGTTTCCCTGAGACAAAGTTGAATGCAGAGGATGGACTCCCCGTTTCTCTGCGCTGATGTGGCACATACTTTCTGTATTTGCAAGGCGTATTCATGCATGTATGTGTGGGTGCGCTCTTGTTTATGCCGATTGTATTCTACGAGCCAATTCCGCCAAAAGCCTGCAATCAAGTGACTGGGAAGTATATAGGAGGAAGTTAGGAGTCGCCTCCAACAAATAAGCTCCATGTCAACTCTGGGAGAGCCTGCCAAACTACCCGTGAGTACGCCTAGCCCCCACGTTGAGAGCCCATCCAAACAATACGTGGGTATCAAAACGCTAAACACAGTGAAAAGAACGGGCCTCATTCCCTTCAGCCCGAAAGAGCCCTTCTTAACAGGAAAGTTTTCTTTTCTTTTGTGGGCTCCTATAGCGCAATGGTTACAGGTGTCCTGAAATACATATGAGTTCGATCGCACAACCCATAATCACCAAGCTTTCCATCCTCCCAGGGTCGGCAAACTGGCACCAAACGTGTCTAGGAGGATAGTAGCACTGACTCGATTCATCGATCAGCTACTGTGATTCATTGTAAAGACCAGATATGCATTCAATTACATCTGACGATGTTTGGTGAAGTCGAATGCATGGCGCATCCTTCAGAGATTGATCGACGCCGAGAGCTTTATCCTTCAGCTTTTTTCTATGTTTTCCATTATAACCTACATGGTTGCTTGGATTGGCGCCTCCATGTACTGTATGAACGGCACATACTCTTCACTCATTTTATTCGTTAGTGAGTGACGCTTGAAGTTGTGGTCCGTTTCGGGCATCGTCACCTCAACTAGTAACGCCTCTTAGTGCGTAAATCTTTTCCATTTACGAAGGCAGATGACTGCCATGGTTGACACTGGTTGCAAGCATGTCTTCTCAAGTTCTCACCGTTTGTCATTAAAGCAGAGTATATGAAATAAAACCACATGTGTGTTGAGACGGAAAGCAAAACTCGGAACCTTAGGTGCACATGGTGCTCCCGATCACCGCTTGCGAAGGCGACATCTTATTCGCTGAAACAACCGAAGCTCCTACTTTGCCTTTATTTTATTGTTTTGTCAGCGATCTATTACCATAGAGAAACCCCGTACCTCACTCAGTTGTGAAAGGCTGAACACAATGCCCTTCTCACACGCATTTTGTTTGCAGACCAAGATAATTTTTCTTAATATCCCACGAAGAGCGGCCTCGATTCCTTCCCAGCTCCGTCACCACTACTAACGGATGAGCCCTTTCATGCACAAAAAGTTTCTCATCGAGAACTTCATCCTCCTCTCAAAGATAATGTACCGAAGTATTGGGTATACTGTTGGTATCAAAAAATCGAGAAACCAGGCATCGAGCTTCTAGCCACCTCACAAGATTTGAGGGTTTCTCTTGACTGTGAACTCTGTTTGCAAAACTCTCTTTCTTATCTCAGAACAGGTTCTTCGTTTCAAGGAAGTGCCAGATTACTAATTGTCATCCGGGCCTACCTCATGCCATGGATCACCCTCATTTGAGGGATCTCGAGCCGGTTAGTCGCGAGGCTACGTGGCGCGTCCCCGCGTGGCGGATAGGGGGTTAATCGTGAACCAAAAGCGACCTTTCCTTTCCTGAGACGCAGGTGGATCCAGGGGATGGACTCCCTGTTTCTGTTGCGCTGATTTGGCACATACTTTCTGCATTTGCTAGGCGTATTCATGCATGTATGTGTGGGCGCGCTCTTGTCTATGCCGATTGTATTCTACGGATCAGTTTGGCCAAAAGCCTAAAATCAAGTGACTGGGAAGTATATGGGAGGCGGTTAGGAGTCGCCTCCAACAAATAAACTCTATGTCAACTCTGGGAGAGCCTGTCAAACTACCCGTGAGTACGCCTAGCCCCCACGTTCAGAGCCCATCCAAACTATACGTGGGTATCAAAATGCTAAACACAGTAAAAAGAACGAGCCTCATTCCCTTGACCCCGAAAGAGCCCCCAATTTCGCAGCATTAGGTAGGGCGAGTACGGAGTGGCTGCAAAAATCTCAAAACCAATGAAGGCTACCTGGATTTCAAAAAACTATGGTGACGATGTGTACCTACAATGCGCGTACACTTGCATCCGAATCTTCGATAGAAGACTTGCTCATGCAAGCAAGAAGGATAAGGTCCGACGTCATCGGCCTGGTTAAGACGAGACGACGCCACCTATTCAACGCCGTTTATGACACCGGAGAAGAATTGTTCCTGGGAAAATGGGACAGTAGAAGAGTCGGCGGCGTCGGCGCTGGCGTTCTCGTCGACACGAGTCTGTCCATAACCAACGATTCATTCGAACAACTAACAACGCCAATCGGACGTTTGCGATTAAAGAGATGTGGACCGATATCTGCCTTGACAGTCTACGCCATTTACGCGTCGACATCAAGCTACGACGGGGAAGAAGTCGAAGCGCTCTACATGCACTTGTGGAAGTTCAACAGAGAGGTCCATACATTTTTCAAGGTCATGATTGGAGATTTTAACACTAGGATTGGACCAGAAGAACGTCTGAAAAACGTCACAATGGAACTCACGGATTACAACGGTACGAACAGGGCAAGCGGCTGCCAGGGTTTATCATGACGGCCAAGGCAATCCATGGTAACTCGCAATTCCAGAAGCCCCTCCCTCAGCGCTGGACGTGGGAGTCTTCCAATGGAGGTACCATAACGTAGTAGACCACATGATAGTAAATAGAAGCTTTTGCCTAACCGATGTCGCTGTTCTCTCATAATTCTACACGGGATCAGACCGTCGTCTCCTTCGTGCGAGATTCTATTTCTCGCGGAAAGGAGAAAAAAACCGCCAAGTTCCAAAAACGAAGTCCGAGAACCACTGTAAACTGGGATTTATTCAATTCATTAGTCGGCTGTTGGCCAGATGCCGCTGACGATAACATCCACGAAGGATACGATCGGCTCATTCAACATCTTCATGGTAGCGCTATGAAAGCTCAGAGTTCGAAAGTCACCTAGAGACGTCTGTTTCCAGAAACACTCAAGCTGATACGCCAGCGTGGAATAGCACGAGCTGCAGGCAACCGCGAACTAACGTCCGAGCTTGCAAAACAATCTCAGAACAGTCCCAGTCCCAGAACCACCGTTAACTGGGGCTTATTCAATTCATTAGTCCGCTGTTGGAAAGATGCCGTTGTCGATAACAACGACGAAGAATACGATCGGCTCATTCTACAACTTTTTTCTCAGAGATATGAAAGCTGGGAGTTCGAAATTCACCAAGAGACGTTTGACTCCAGAAACACGTGAACTGATACGCCAGCGTAGAATAGCACGAGCTCCATGCAACCGCAAACAGAACTCGCAAAACAGTGCAGACAGGCGATAAAAGAAGATCTTGGAGAGAGAAGAGCAGCAGTAACGGTCGAAGCTGCAGAGGCTGGGAAAAGCATTCGCAGAGCCCACCGATGCTTCGCCAATTACAAGACCACTGATTGCACTTCGGCGCCTAGAAGAAACAGTTACACCGTCCAGAAAGGCAACGGAGAAAATCATTCACGAATACTACTCGGATCTCTTCGATAGCCACGTCCACCTTCTGTCGTATGAAATAAAGGAGGATGAATATGTTGCACCACAGGTACTCCCTTCCGAAATCCGACGTGCCATTTCGTCGGTGAGAAATCGAACAGCACCAGGTCCGAACAGGATAAGATCAGAACACCTGAAGGCGCTTCATAATCAGCAGTGTTTAAATCGAAATGGATCGAAACACGCAAGCAACACCTCAAAATCCACCGTGAATCGCAATATTGCAAAACTGATTGTCGGCATTTCTAGAGACTGTAAAAGCAGTTCCAGGATTTCTTAAGGTCTAAATTGTTCAGAATATAATAAACCAGATCTGGGCGCTTCATAATCAACAGTGTTTAGATCGAAATGGCTCGAAACACGCAAGCAACACCTCAAAATCCTCGTCCTCGTAAACACACTGCTTCGGCTCTTCACACGTGACCTGTCTGAATGCAACGTACCTACTCAGTGGAAGACCAGCAAGACCGTGTTATTGTTTAAAAAGGTAACCTGCACGATATCGGTAACTATCGGCCAATCTGCCTACTGTCTGTCGTCTACAAACTTTTCACTGGAGTCTTCCTAAACAGGATTGACAGAACACTAGACGAAGGACAACCAGGTGGGCAAGCAGGATTTCGAAGAGGATTTAGTACGATGGATCACATCCACATGGTAACACGGCTTATTGAAGTATCGCAAGAGTGCAAAATTCCGATCTGTCTCA